TATTTTCAACTACAACTTTTATATTATCCTGTCTACCATCTTACTAGCATATTATAACCAAGTCATTGCCATTTTTATTTTTATCTTTTTTTTTTATTATTCTTTTGCTACCTTAATTTGTGTATTTTATCCTGTCAATTTAAATCTAATTATACTCTAATTCTTGTAAACAACTTATATAAGACCTTAGTGCAATTACAATTGAGAGTCTTGTGCCTTTATTATATTATTAGATTAATCACAGTTTTACTCTAGCTCATTCTAGCTCAATACATAGTCAATACCAAATTCACTATATTAGACCATAGTGCAATTACTAGTGAGAGACTGGTGCTATTTGTAATTTGTATCTTTATATTATTAAACTAAACCTAGTTGTACTATAGCTCTTTCTAGCTCAATACATAGTCAATACCAAATTCACTATATTAGACCATAGTGCAATTACTAGTGAGAGACGGGTGCTATTTTTAATTTGTATTTTTATACTATTAGATTAAATTCAGTTGTACCATAGCTCATTCTAACTCAGTACATAGTCAATACCAAATTCACTATATTAGACCATAGTGCAATTACTAGTGAGAGACTAGTGCTATTTTTAATTTGTATTTTTATATTATTAAATTAAACCTATTGTACTATAGCTCATTCTAGCTCAAAAACATAGACTCCACAAAAGTCATTATTAGACCTTAGTGCAATTACAAGTGAGAGTCTTGTTCTATTTTTAATTTGTATTTTTACATTACTAGTTTATACCTAGTTGTACTTTAGTTCATTCCAGCACAACACATAGACAACATCAACTTCATTATGTGTAGTAGTGACTATACTCTACATGACCAAAATACTCTAGCTATATACTTGTCCAAACTTCCTACCACTACAGATATCAGTACTAGAACTCAACACACAACTCAGGATATAAATAACCATAATTTAAACCTAGAAGATGATTGATCATGTTGACCCTGATCTAAACCTCCATAATCTGACACCCAATCAAAACCTATTGGAAAGTAAACTGCCTTTATTACACAGCATCACAGCCAGCATCTATCCTAAACAATGCTAAAAGTCTATCAGTACTTAACTACAACATCAGGTCCTTAAGCAAACACTATGATGACCTCCTAGCACTCCTTGAATCACTAAAGACACCCTTCTCCTGCATTATTCTTACTGAGACCTGCTTAAGCAGGACACAATAGATATCTACCCTCTACCAGGATACACAGCAATTCACAACTGCAGACCAAACCAAGTTGGGGGTGGTATTGCAATCTATTACTCTAACCAATTATCTTGTATTAGCACCACTTGCTTTAGTGATGAATATGGGGAATACATTTTTGCTAATTTTACTGTAAAAAACCTTAAGACGCCTATAACAATCGGTCCCATTTACCGGATACCTCACACAAACATCCCAAATTTCAGTAAAAAATTTAAAAGTCACTAATACAGACAAATGAATAAGCACCACCTTCTCTTAGCTGGAGACTTCAACATCAACCTTGGCTTACTAGATAATCAGCCTGTAACTGATTTCATCAACAATATGAACAACACACTTCTCATACCAACAATAACTAAAACCAACCAGGCTCACTGAGACAAGTGCAACCATAATAGACCACATATGGACCAATATACTAGCCCCCTTAAATCAGGGATAATTCACAGATAGCACTACAGACCACTAACCCTACCTTCCCCCTGACAAACATTAGAAAAACCACCACTTGAATACAACAAAGTCTCATTTAGACTCCATGACGAGGCCTCAGTAAGGAAGTTCACAGCTGACCTAGAGACTGTTGACTGGCCTACAGAATTCTCCAAGGCCAATGGTATTGATGACTGGACAGACATTTTTCTTAACAAATTACTTAGACTATACAACAAACATTGTCCTATAAAAACAAAACAGATCACAAACAAACGGCTTGGTTGCCCATGGCTAACCAGCACCATTCTGAAATCCATTGACAAGAAACACCAATATGAAAAGCAATATAGACAAGGCTTAATACACAAAGATATTCGTAAACACTATTCATCAGCTCTCACCAAAGTAATAAAGAAAGCCAAACAACTATATACTCCAGTAGATTCACAGACACTAGAGGAGATATAAAAAAGACCTGGAAAACACTCTCTCAGATTCTAGGGACCCACAAACTGAGAAAAACCAAGAATATTGTCCTAAAATAAACCTAATGAAACACCACTACATCCCACTGACACAGCTAACAAGATAAATGACTTCTTCTCAACCATAGGATCTAATCTCGCCAGTAAAATCCCACATACCAATGCCCATGCCGGGGACTACCTAGATGGGAATTTCCCTAATTCCTTCTATCTTGCACCAACTGAGCCCACGGAAGTCACCGAGATTATAAAGTCACTTAAAAATAACTCGGGGAATCTGTCTCATGTCCCACCATTACTGTACAAGCGAGCGGCCCATGTCCTTCGCATGCTATTTCATTACTCTTTAACAAGTCACTAGAGACTAGCACCTTCCCGAAACTACTCAAGATGGCAAGGTTACACCAATACATAAGGTGGTGACCCTACAGACTTAAACAACTATAGGCCAATATCTAACTTACCATTGCTATCCAAAATCTTTGAGAAACTCGTGCACAGGAGACTGTATTCATTTATAACGGCTCAAAAACATACTCAACCCCCTGCCAATTTGGATTCAGGAAAAATAAAAGCACTAATGATGCAATCATAAAAATGCTAGATCTGCTTTACACAGCATTGGAAAATAAGGAATATCCACTAGGAATTTTTATTGACCTAAGAAAAGCTTTGACACAGTAGACCACGACATCCTACTCCACAAACTTGATCATTACGGTATAAGAAGGCCATGCGCTTGCTTATTTCAAATCTTACATTACTAATAGGTATCAGTATGTCACCATTAAAGACACAGCATCAGCAACACGGCCACTTGATACTGGAGTTCCGCAGGGAAGTGTCCTTGGTCCCCTGCTCTTCCTCATATACATCAATGACCTTCCAAACGTATCCCAACACCTGAAACCCATTCTCTTTGCTGATGACACGACTATGTCATCTCTCACCCTAATCTTGCCACCCTCAACACCACTGTGAATGAGGAGCTGATCAAAATATCGACTTGGATGACAGCCAATAAACTTACGCTTAACACTGACAAAACCTACTATATTATGTTTGGTAGCAGAGCAGGAGATGCACAAATTAACATTAAGATTGACAACACTCTAATTACCAGAAATAATGGGGGCAAATTCCTAGGCTTATACCTTGACAACAACCTGAATTTCAGCACCCATATCCAGCATATAACCAAAAAAGTATCCAAAACGGTTGGGATCCTCTCCAAGATACGATACTACGTGCCGCAAAATGCCCTTCTCACACTATACCACTCACTTATTTATCCATACCTCACCTATGCTATTTGTGCTTGGGGATCAACTGCAGCAACACACCTAAAGCCAATAATAACCCAACAAAAAGCTGCAGTAAGAATAATCACTAAATCCCATCCCTGGCAACACACCCCCCCACTCTTCATAGACCTAAACTTACTCCCTGTTCAGTACATCCACACTTACTACTGTGCAATCTACATCTACAGGGCCTTAAACTCTAATATCAACCTTGACCTAAAACGCTTTCTTGATAGTTTTTGACAGAACCCACAGGCATAACACCAGACACAAACATCTCTACGACATTCCCCGTGTCCGACTAAACCTTTACAAAAATTCAATGTATGTCAAAGGCCCTAAAATCTGGAATACCCTACCTGAGAACTCTAGAACTGCAGACACATTCATCACCTTCAAAACTACCATTAGAAAACATCTTATCTTCCTGATACACCCTGTCAACTAACTACACGAATACCACCTGGTGGTTCACACTTACACTCACTGACTCATTTGACCATAAACAAATATTAATCTCAATCTTAAAATAATGAATCCTGTGATACTCCAATACTGAAACTATGTACTGTTCCAAAACAAAAGCATTTACATTACTAAACTCACAAACTAGTATTTAGTCACTTAGCCATAATACCAACTTACCTCATAATTTGTAATATTTTACAATTAAGAATAAAACTAAGTCTGCCCGAAATGCCTAGCCATGCTAAGCATTCTAGTGGTACACTCTGTAATCACTGTTTTACTACATGTAAACCACACAATAACCAAATTTCTGTAAACTCAGCATTGTAATCCTTATAGAGAATAAACTTTGAATTTGAATTTGAATTTATTATTTCAAAATCATATGCTGAGGATAATTAGAATTTGTACTTATTCACCAGGTAAAGCTCTACATAAAAAGATGAAATACATTTATAAAAAAAACGATCATGTAGTAAAATATAAGTTAGTATAACCATATGTATAATAACATGGGTACTTAACCTTTTTATGATTACAGATCCCCAATGCATTGACCAGTATGTCCCCATGCCCCCTTCACCAGACTGTCGAAATCATCACCACCACCACCAGTCCTATAAGGTACCAGTATGACTTCAAAAGGTGTCAATAGCTTGGTTTACTTTACATATGGATAGCTAGGTGATGGTTTATTCTAATCTAACAACATTTTTTTTATATTGTTCAGATATTGAGTCCCATACCCCTATTATTTAGTTTCCATATGTCAGGTTAAGAACCTCCTGTATTAGAATGAGGGTTTTACTATTACACTCTTGTGATTTTACCCTCCTCTTATAAAATTGTTTTAACTAAGAATGATAATATTGTACATTCAACTGAAAACTTAGCAGTAGTTGGGTGGGTTTACACTTCTGTATCCAAGAAAACATAAGTTCAATAAGTTAAGGAAATGCAAGGGAAGATCAGAAATAATTTACATCAATATTATTGCTCTATAATTTAACATGTATTGTTCTGAAGGTCCTGTGCTGTGTGCTGGAAACAACCAGTTATTTTACTTACAATGTTCTTGGGATCATTTAGAAGATTGAGAAGATCTGGATGGCTGTAGCCAAGTGGGAGAGAAGAGATTTGGGTGTAGACATCAAGCAGTATGTTACCATCCACATCCACCAAGTAGTTACCTAAACTTTGCTCATAGTCCACAAACAGGTGTACTGCACCCGACTCCTGCAAGTAGTGAGGCAGGTTATGTCAGGCCCAGCCAGCCTGGAGGTCAGATTGAGGCTCAACATAGCATAAGATCACACTTTTAAGGTAGAATTTGGGATCTTGGATTACAAAGTAACAATCATTTTATCAAACAAGCAAAGTGTAAATCTATTTTTTTTTTTTTTTTGCAATCACTCCATATATTTCTAACTCAACATCACAAAATTAATATGCTTCAATAATGTAAATAAAGCTACTCAATTTAAGCTAACCAAAAATATGTTGGGTAGGCTCAGACTAAATTACATTAATGGTATATTAATTTTAGACAGGTTAGGTTGCTAGGTTAGCTTTGGTACAAAATAAACAAATGTATAATCATACGATGATAACTCATAAAAAATACACCTATCAGTGAATAAAAAAAAATTCAGATGATCTGTGTTGTTGGGCAGCTAGGCTTGTTAAACTGACTCTGTCTAAACACAAAAATGCAATACTATAATGTAGTAACACATCTCTCAGCCCCAGATCTTCCAGGCTGCTGACTACACTACATTAAGTTAGGTAAGCTATAATACTGGATATTGTGTATCAAGAACACTCATGAATAGTGGTAATTATTTATGACCAATGTAATGTATCTAATGTAAGAATCTCCAAGGACTTTACACCATTGTGGGAATTCTGCAAGTAAACTGGCAATACTCCCAGAAGATGCCCATGTTTAGCATGTGTCGCTTGTGGTACTAGTTTTGTTATGCTCAAAAATGTGATGTCAGCTCTTTATTCCTTTGAGTGGCCGTCCCGCAGATCTTGTTACTGAGGCCAGGATCCCTCATGTAGATCTATGTTTTGAGCACAGCTCCCTGAGAAAGGCTGTCAGCAGTAAATTTTGAGAGAATGGGTCTGTGCAGTAAGTGTGCATAGTATTAAAAAATTCTACTCCACATGATGCATGATGGGAAAAGCAAAACTTTGACCTTGTGTCTTGTTTAAAAATAGAAATTTGAGATGCTTTCTAGGATAGTTTTTATGGTTTTATTGGCTGTTTCTTGGTATCCTTTGATAAAATGGAAGATATAATAATGAAAAAAAAGAAAATTTTGGTTGGTTTAAGAACCAGAAGTACCTTGAAATTGAGCTCAAAGTAGTGGAAATATTAAATTTTTGCTGATTCTCCTGAGGATAGGTATGGCATCCCTAAGCCCCCAATCTGTTTTATGGGTTTTTAATAGGTCTGATTCAATTAGTGGAATGCTTTAAACCATGACCAATCATTCTTACTTATATTTTATTATCCAAAAAATAAGGTAAATCTTCAATTTTTTTGTGATAATGAATTGAAAATGGAAGGCAAAGGCAACATAGGAGAGGCCTGGGATGTGACTAATGAACAAATTAAATGTTGTTTTAGTGTCTGGAATATCTACATTATTTATTTTGGACTCTATACTTATATTGGATTTTTTATTTTGTGTAGAAATAGCCAAATTACCAACTTCTGCACACTTTATAGGGTAGTTCTAATAAATAAATGGGTAGTTTCCTGTGTTCAATCAATAGTTCTGAAGACACATTAGCAAAATAGCTAAGAATTTGATCAAATGGAGCAACAGAATTGGCTTAATACAGAACTCAAAGTAGGCAAGACTGCTAACTTTAATGGAACATGATAAAGCCTACACTGGAGTTTTATCATGTCATAGATCTGTTTGTCTTGATGAAGTCCACTGTTAGGGTGAAACTCTGTTAATATAGAATCACATTGGTATAACAAATTTGAAGAATGAGACACATTCAACATTTGGGAATCTTTACTGAGGAAATGATTCATAAGCCAGTGGCTTCTTCAGTCTAGTACAGAGAAGAACTGTGGAAGATGAGGAGTTTGTAGTAATCAGCCCCTCAGCCTGCAATTAATGTGTTCAGCCCAGGCTGAGGGACTGATTACCTCAAACTCCTCCTCATCTCCCACAGATCTCTGTACTGGACAGAAGAAGCCACTGGTTGGCAAAACGTTTCCTCAATAAAGATTTCCAAATGTTGTACAAGTGTCTCCTTTAACGTTGGTTTTCTAAACCATTTATATAACAAATTTGTCTCTTCATTACCAGGTTTGTGTGGTATTCAAAAAGATATGACAAGAGATAAATTCAATAATTAAAACTTATAGGAATTCTATGAAAATTATCATATTCATCAAGCTGTTTTCTTTAGTTCACCATACTTATGAAAGTTAATTATAATGAAATTAGAGCATTTCTTACCTTAATAAATCCCCAGGTATACTCCCACCACAATGACTGCTAAAACACCCAGGTATCCTGACTCCAGCAGCAACACTAATAAAACACCAAGGCATCCAGCCACCACCAGCACTAATACAACACCCAGTCATCTAGCCACCACCACCACCAGCACTAATACAACACCCAGTCATCCAACCACCACCACCACCAGCACTAATACAACACCCAGTCATCTAGCCACCACCACCACCAGCACTAATACAACACCCAGTCATCCAGCCACCACCAGCACTAATACAACACCCAATCATCCAGCACTTCCACCACCAGCACTAATACAACACCCAGGCATCCAGCCACCACCACCACCAGCACTAATACAACACCCAGTCATCCAGCCACCACCACCACCAGCACTAATACAACACCCAGTCATCCAGCCACCACCACACAGCACTAATATAACACCCAGTCATCCAGCCACCACCACCACCAGCACTAATACAACACCCAGTCATCCAGCCACCACCACCACCAGCACTAATACAACACCCAGTCATCCAGCCACCATCACCACCAGCACTAATACAACACCCAATCATCCAGCCACCACCACCAACAGCACTAATACAACACCCAGTCATCCAGCCAACACCACCACCAGCACTAATACAACACCCAGGCATCCAGCTGCCACCACCACCAGCACTAATACAACACCAGTCATCCAGCCACCACCACCACTAATACAATACCCAGTCACCCAGCCAATACCACCACCTGCACTAATACAACGCCCAGTCATCCAACCACCACCAGCACTAATACAACACCCAGTCATCCAACCACCACCAGCACTAATACAACACCCAGTCATCCAGCCACCACCACCACTAATACAATACCCAGTCATCCAGCCAACACCACCACCTGCACTAATACAACACCCAGTCATCCAACCACCACCAGCACTAATACAACAACCAGTCATCCAACCACCACCAGCACTAATACAACACCCAGTTGTCCAACCACCACCAGCACTAATACAACACCCAGTCAATACCATCACCATCAGCACTAATACAACACCCAGTCATTCAGCTGCCATCACCACTACCAGCATTAATACAACACCCAATCATCCAACCACCACTATACAACATCCAGTCATCCAACCACTACTATCACCACCAGAACTAATACAACACCCAGTCATCCAGCCACTATCACCACCACCAGTGCTAATACAACACAGACATCCAGGCTCCTGATGTGGCTGTTGTACAGCTATATCAGGAGGAAAACAACAGCAAAGGGATCATGTAATCAGACTGAGGAAGGAAGGAGGGGAGAACACAAGAAATGACTTAAGATGTGAAGAGCTCAACAGGAGTTTCAAGGAAGTGTTTTTAGTGGAGACAGAAAGGACTCCAGCAACCAGAGATGGAAGGGTACACCAACAAGTTCTGGACACATTACATACAACAGAGGAGGTAGGACTAGACATCTCTCTGTGGGCCCTGAGAGAGGGAGCAGGGGCAGTGTGTGTGCCATTGACAACCATCTTCAACACATCTATCATATATACATCTATCAAAACAGCAATTACCCGAGGTGTGGAAGACGTCAAATGCAGTCCCTATCTTTAAGCAAGGAGACAGGAAGGTGGCATTAAACTATAGACTAATGTCACTGACATGCATAGTATGCAAAGTCATGGAGAAGATTATCAGAAGTGTGGCAAAGCATCTAGAAAGGAATGCGCTTATAAATGATAACCAGTACAGTTGCAGGGAAGGGAAATCCTGTGTTACAAACCAACTTGAGTTTTATGACAAGGAGACAAAAGTAAGATGAAAGAGAAGGAAGGGTAGACTGCATTTTCTTTGACTGAAAGTAGGCCTTTGACACAGTTCCATACAAGAGATTTGTGTAAAAGCTAGAGAAGCAGACAGTAATAACAGGAAAGGCATTGGGAATAGATCAAAGAATACCTAACAGGAAGGTAACAAATGATGGTATGTAACACGGTGTCAAATTGGGCACTTGCGATGAGCGGAATCCACAAGGGTAAGTCCTAGGGCTGGTGCCGTTTCTGGCATATGTGAATGACATGACGGAAGCAGTGGCATCGTAAGGGGGGGGCAGGGGTGCTGCCCTGGGTGACACCATTTAGGAGGTGACACCATAGAGCTTCTAAAGAAGGTGACACTAATGCACAAAACAGTGCTGCAGCAACATAAGAGAAAAAGCCTTCATTTCTATATAGCCTATTATATGATTACAGAGTACAAATAGGCCTATATAGGGAAGATTAAGAGAGAAAGATTTCGTTCGAATTTTTAACCCCGAAGGGTTAGCCACCCAGGATAACCCAAGAAAGTCAGTGCGTCATCGAGGACTGTCTAACTTATTTCCATTGGGGTCCTTAATCTTGTCCCCCAGGATGCGACCCACACCAGTCGACTAACACCCAGGTACCTATTTGCTGCTAGGTGAACAGGACAACAGGTGTAAGGAAACATGTGTCGAAATGTTTCCACCCACCGGGAATCGAACCTGGGCCCTCCGTGTGTGAAGCGGGAGCTTTAGCCACCAGGCTAAGGAAATGTAAGATCAGATTCACTGAGATGTTGCCTGTACTCAAAGTGGTATTTGAGTACAGGCAACATCTCAGTACAGTGGACCCCCGGTTAACGAACTTTTTTCATTCCAGTAGTATGTTCAGGTGCCAGTACTGACCGGATTTTTTCCCATAAGGAATATTGTGAAGTAGATTAGTCCATTTCAGACCCCCAAACATACACGTACAAACGCACTTACATAAATACACTTACATAATTGGTCGCATTTGGAGGTGATCGTTAAGCGGGGGTCCACTGTATTACTACGATTATTTATTTTATCATTAATAAAGTTGAGAAGTATTCTCCTGTTCGGTTTATGCCCCTTAACATTCTCATTGCTAAACATTAGTCATTGGTCCTGCAGTAGTGATGTAACTGGAGTTTACTCCCCCCTCCCGCCTATGGATTTCATGAGGGTGACACCAAAGATGCCACCCTGGGTGACACCAGCCCTAGCGACGCCATTGGACGGAAGGGACAGATTCAGAGGCGTTTTTGTTTGCAGACGATGTGAAGCTAATGTGAAGAATTCAATTGGATGAGGATCAGATGGGACTACAAAGGGATCTGGACAGGGTGAAAGCCTGGTCCAACAACTGACTCCTGGAGTTTAACTCCCACCAAGTGCAAAGTCATGAAGATTGGGAAGGTCAAAGAAGACCAAAGACAGAGTACAGTATAGGCTAGGGGGCCAAAGACTGCAAACCTCACTCAATTAAAAGGATCTTGGGGTGAATAAAATATCGAGCACATTTCCTGAGGCGCACATCAACCATATAACTGCTGCAGCATATAGGCGCCTTGCAAACCTAAGAACAGCATTTCGACAGCTGAGTAAGGAATTATTCACGACTCTGTATATCATATATGTCAGGCCCATACTGGAGTATGCAGCAACAGTATGGAATGCACACCTGGTCAAGCATGTCAAGAAATTAAAGAAAGTGCAAAGGGTTGCAAGAAGACTAGTTCCTGAGCTAAGCGGTATGTCCTGTGAGAAGTCAAGGGAAATCAACCTGACAACAATGGAGGACAGGAGGGATGGGGGACATGGTAATGACATATAAAATACCGAGAGGATTATTATTATTTACCTGGAGTTTACCTGGAGAGAGTTCCGGGGGTCAACGCCCCCGTGGCCCGGTCTGTGACCAGGCCTCCTGGTGGATCAGAGCCTGATCAACCAGGCTGTTACTGCTGGCTGCACGCAAACCAATGTACAAGCCACAGCCCGGCTGGTCAGAAACCGACTTTAGGTGCTTGTCCAGTGCCAGCTTGAAGACTGCCAGGGGTCTGTTGGTAATCCCCCTTATGTATGCTGGGAGGCAGTTGAACAGTCTTGGGCCCCTGACACTTATTGTATGGTCTCTTAACGTGCTAGTGACACCCCTGCTTTTCATTGGGGGGATGTTGCATCGTCTGCCAAGTCTTTTGCTTTCGTAGTGAGTGATTTTCGTGTGCAAGTTCAGTACTAGTCCCTCTAGGATTTTCCAGGTGTATATAATCATGCATCTCTCCTGCCTGCGTTCCAGGGAATACAGGTTTAGGAACCTCAAGCGCTCCCAGTAATTGAGGTGTTTTATCTCCGTTATCTGCGCCATAAAGGTTCTCTGTACATTTTCTAGGTCAGCAATTTCACCTGCCTTGAAAGGTGCTGTTAGTGTGCAGCAATATTCCAGCCTAGATAGAACAAGTGACCTGAAGAGTGTCATCATGGGCTTGGCCTCCCTAGTTTTGAAGGTTCTCATTATCCATCCTGTCATTTTTCTAGCAGATGCGATTGATACAATGTTATGGTCCTTGAAGGTGAGATCCTCCGACATAATCACTCCCAGGTCTTTGACGTTGGTGTTTCGCTCTATTTTGTGGCCAGAATTTGTTTTAATAAAAAAGAAGCGCTAATACTGAGAGGAATTGACAGGATGGACAGGGACAGGATGTTTTAGAGACGGGACACACCAACAAGGGGACGCAACTGGAAACTGAAAACTCAGATGAGTCACAGAGATGTTAGGAAGTATTTCTTCAGCCATAGAGTTGTCAGGAAGTGGAACAATCTGGAAAGTGATGTAGTGGAGGCAGGACCTATACACAGATTTAAGAAGAGATACGACAAAGCTCATGGAGCAGGGAGAGAGTGAACCTAGTAGCGACCAGCGAAGAGGTGGTGCCATAAGCTGTGACCACAAATAGGTGAGGGCACACACACACACAGTTTGATGGACACAGCAGCACATCGTGTCCATCACTGCCCCCATACCTGTACTTGCTGCTAACCACACCTGGATCTGTGAGAGCTGCTGCAGCCTTTGGTTAGAGATGGGTCCAGGGATGCTCTTTGTGACTACTTTGGGGTTCTGTGGTTCATTGGGGATGAGGGAATTGGAGGCCTCTCTGGGGGTTGTCCGCTGAACCTGCAGGCTGCCTGTCAAATATGTAATACATTAATATTCAGTAATATAACTTCAAGCAAAAAAATATACATAATTTTTATACTTGTACAGGTTTTAAGGCAGTGATGGGACAACACCAAATTTTTGCCGATACCGATACTCAATTCTAGGCTAATACTGACACCATCATCAGATACCGATACTCAATTTTAGGCTAATTCTAATACCATCAACTTCAGACAATACCAACCGATACTCAATCCTAGGATAATACTGATACCATCAACATTAGAGAATACCCACCGATACACAATTTTAGATAGCTACTGATACCCTGGCAGAGATATAAAGAAGCACACACTATAGGGTACACTTGCATTTACACAATACCAACAGTTCGGTTCTGACCACTCTGAGTCCTTGACTTCATCGAGAAAACGGTAATGGGAGAGATAGCTTGAAGTTGTTGGGGCATCCCTCAATGATTCCTATTTAAAAAAAAAAAAAAACTGCACGAAATATTTTTTCTTGGAGTAGAACATAAAGACGGGGTGAGAATATAATTTCAAACTTTCATTTTTGGGGACTACCCTAGTGTATACGTGAGAATTGCAGGCTCTGGCACCTAGGGTGGCTGCACCTAATTATGGCTGCAGGGATTGTTTCTGCTCTTGGCCCCTCTTTTCTCCTGGCCTTTACTGTTTTTTTCACTCTCCTGGCCGCGTGAGCCCTACATACCTATTCTTAAAGCTGCGTTTAGACTAAAGGTCGACAATCTAAAATTTATTTTTTATTACCGAGACTCAGAATTTCTGATATAATCCTACCACCAGAGAACATTGAAAAAGCAATACATGACGTGCCTATGCACTGTGCCCCAGGCCAGACTCGTGGAGGTCCGGGTTCATCAAGAACTGCAAGAAAGCCCTTTCACGTGCCTGAAGCATAGACACAGGGGTCATCCCACAGTCACTAAAAACAACATATATATCCCCACTCTACAAAGATGGCAGTAAATCAACTGCAAAGAATTACAGACCGATAGCACTAACGTCCTACATCATATTATTATTATTATAATCAAGGGGGAAGCGCTAAACCCGGAGGATTATACAGCGCCTGGGGGGGGGATGTGGAAGGCATTCAGGCTTAATTCGGGGAACTGGAGCACAGATCCAATTCCCTAAATCAAGAGCCCCTCACCAACATCAAGGAACCTTCCTTGAGGGGTCCTACATCATAAAAATCTTTGAAAGGGTTCTAAGAAGCAAGATCACCAACCACTTGGATATCCAACAACTGCACAACCCAGGGCAACATGGGTTTAAAGCAGGTCGCCCCTGCCTCTCACAATTACTGAACCACTATATCATGGTCTTGGATGCACTGATCATGGTGTAATAGCACACAAAATGCTTGATAAAGGAAAAATGGGTATATGGATCTATAACTTCCAAACACATAGACCACAAAGAGTAATAGTAAACAGAGTAGTCAGCGGCGGCTACAGGGTACAGTACTCGTTCCCATTCTTTTCCTCAACCTCATATCTGACACAGACATGTAAGTCACAGCACCATGTCCTGCTTTGCTGACAATACCAGAATATGCATGGCAGTGTCGGGAACAAACCTTGTTGCATGTTGTGACTTAACATGTTTTTTGAAGTGCGGGTTCCATACTGGTGCAACTTTCTCCATGGTAGGCCAGCAGAAGGCCTTGTATTCACTGGGACCTAGGCGAGAAAGATACATGATAATATGCACTTGGAAAATCCTAGAGGGATTAGTACCAGATTTGCAAGAAAAACACTCCCTACGAAAGCAAAAGACTCGGCAGGCGGTGCAACATCTCCCCAATGAAAAGCAGGGGGGGGTGTTGGGCCCCTGACACAATAAGTGGTAGAGGCCCAAGACTGTTCAACTGCCTCCCAGCACCAATAGGCCCCTGGCTGTCTTCAAGAAGGCGCTGGACAGGAACCTAAAGTCAGTATCTGACCACCCGGGCTGTGGTTCGTCCGTCAGTTTACGTGCGGCCAGCAGTAATTGCCTGGTTGATCAGGCCCTGATCCACCGCGAGGCCTGGTCACAGACCGGGCAGCGGGGGCGTCGACCACCGATATACTCCAGGTATACTCCAGGTCAGATGACCAACAGCTCCAGATGCGGGTCATCATATAACTAAGACCCGCGTCAGGAAATACTTGTCCTGTTTCCTGACAAACTTAACCTAACCTGTTGTATAAAGGGTTTGAAATGACTGTTAAGATTCCTGAAGAGCTAATCTTAGAGTTGCCAGACCAGCATTGGCTAGAGAGATTATTCGGCTGATGTGAGCCTCTAGCAATATACTGGGCACTATGATCACTCATACGTCTTTCTCTTCGAGTGAAATCTGTACCCTCTGTCCCCCTAGTCTATACCCACTTTTCTGGTCTTCTTGCTCCTTCCCCAATATTCGTGACCTTGCATTTACTGGAATTGAATTCAAGCAAACACATATCTGAGCACTCTTGCAATTTGTCCAGCTCCTTTCGTAGTCTTCCCTTCTATTCATCTGTTTTTACTCTGTCTCATTAGTTGTACGCCATCAGCAAACAGGGATATATCTGAATCAATCCCATCTGGAGTGTCATTTACGTAAACCATAAAAAGTACTGGTCCTACACGAATACCACCTGGTGGTTCACACTTACACTCACTCACCCCATGACCATAAACAGAAATATTAATCTCAATCTTAAAATAATGAATCCTATGATACTCCAATACTGAAACTATGTACTGTGCCAAAACAAAAGCATTCACATTGCTAAACTCACAAACTAGTATTTAGTCACTTAGCCATAATACCAACTTACCTCATAATTTGTAATATTTTAAAATAAAGAATTAAACTAAGTCTGCCCGAAATGTCTAGCCATGCTAGGCGTTCTAGTGGTACACTCTGTAATCATTATTTAACTACATGTAAACCACACAACAACCAAATTCTGTAAATTCAACATTGTAATCTTTATAGAGAATAAACTTTGAATTTGAATTTGAATTTGAATTTTGAATTTGAACTGCTGTCAGCGTGCCTCGTTGTGCTCCCGGTTTTCTGGTGTTTTCACGGTCGCTCTTACGTGCTAGAACTTTAATTTGTGTCATCAATCCTATACGATACATCCCTCTAGCGCCTGGAACCAATCTTGGGCGGAAAACATTATATACTGAGTCAAAAAAGGAGAATTAGTGTGCATTACCTAGCAGAGTTTACTGCCAGAGGGGAATCATAGGTCTGTTTCCCGTGTGAAAAAAATAATAAAAAATTGAACATTGTGTCAGAGGAAAGAAAGTCTCCCTGAAAGCATTGAGTATACATAGTGTATAGTGTATACTACAGTGGCTCCCTAGTATATTGATGATAAAGGCTAAAGTGTCATTTGAAAACAGGTGAATTTGTAAATGAAGTGATAAGCCTATAGAGGCAGGTGCCAGAAGTCGCCAGAAACTTACCACAGGTCAGCTGTTTTTAATAATCTTCCTGGCCTGCTAGTGTACTCGCATATAATCTAATGATCCCATGAATAGCAGAATACAGTGTTGTAGTAGCAACTAACCAGTATTATAATGGTACTTAGTGGAGTGGAGTGACTTTCATTAGTTTCTTTTTCTTGAAATACGAGACGTTACTGTGAATTTCATATAACCTGTAGTTACCAGCGGTCGCAATATACACAACGAGAAGCAATTATTACTACAGAAAAAGCGTCCTTCCTCCAAAATTTGCACCAGTCAACTATAGTGATAATATAGCATTTATTGTGGTGGAGACGGAAAAAAAACAAAAATAGAAAAGCCAGATACAGCGATTGATAAACAAAGAGGTCGACTGTACGTCATTGCAGGAGCTGCCAGATATCACCGGCTCTTCAACACGCAAGTTATACTTTTGTATCAGTCAAATCACATATTACTCGGGTAGATAATTTCCAGTAGATCCTTCATGTGTTAGCTCAAATCACCGACCAGTATGTTTTAAATAAGTGACCCACTGATCAGAGCAGATCGACTGGTCCGAACCCTTGACTGGTCCGAACCCTTGACTGGTCCGAACCCGGGACTGGTTTCAAACAGTTTCGTTGGACAATAAAGCAGACTGTAAACGGATGGGTTTGTAGGCGCCCTTATAAACACAAACATTAAAAATCAGGAACGTGACGGTAAGCTGTCCAATATACAAAAAGAGTTAGAAACAGAAATACAAATAGCTAGAGCTTCATTTAAGGTTATTAATATAATATTCAAGAGGTTGCTAGTAGAATTGCAGTAAATAAAACCATTCAAATCATTATGAAGCTGTGTGTAGTCTGTGGTCAGTCAAACAAACGGGCTTCCACATGGATAAATGTCTTTTTTGGGTGGAAATTGGTGTCACCTCCTTGTGCAGATATCCCAGAACTAGCTACAAGCAGTATTAAAACAGAGAAGTTTTTTTTGGGTATGCCCAAATTGAGGAAAATCGTAAAACTAAAATCACAAGGGTATTAAAAGAGGATAACATCAAAGCTGCTTTCATAGAAAACCTGGAAGCTTTCTACAACAGATGGGAAACATAAAAAGCTGGGCTGAATGGTACTGCCCTTGATACTGGCCATGTAGTCACAAACTGAAAAGGCTGGAGGTGATGTCCTGGTATCAGTAAATGTGGGGCTGATAGTGCTGTCCTGGGAGACAGTAATGGTGAAGTGGAGGTGCTGTCCTGGGAGACAGAAATGGTGAAGCTGGAGATACTGTCCTGGGAGACAGTAATGGTGAAGCTGGAGATTTGTCCAGGTAGTCGGGAATTATACACAGGAAGGAATACAATAAAATGACCTCATAGAGGACAGGAGCCATAGTAGGGAAACAATTGTATCAAAGATAAGATAAAACCAATATTGCAAACTAGAAATACCGCAGGAAATAGCAAAAAAGAGGACTCCAATAGCAATAGTGAGGATAAATTACCAAAAACAACTGGGGGAGCTCCATTGTTGGTGCTAGGGAGGATAGGAATAAGACAGGGAAACATGCAC